AGTCCCCATCTCTGACTTCACTTCCACAGAGACTTGATAGAGTGAGTGGGGGCTCGTGCCTGTCTCAGCCCACAGCGGGGTCCTATGTATCTTTCTCCTCTCTGAGTGAAGTAGTCTCCCTCCTCTCTGCCCAGAGAAGTGCAGCAGGTGTGTTAACCTGAGGCCAAGCACACAAGTGTGCACTCCCTGCAGGGCCGCCTCTGTGCCTGCCTAACATGTAGCTGCTGCAGCAAGACTAAGTCCTTTCCCTCGCCTCCCTACCTGGCCTTCAGGGGAAATGCTGAAGTGGCCCTGAGGCTCTAAAGCCAGAGAGACCCCTCCCCCACTCCATCCTGGCTACACGACCACCTTCCACTGCACAGCTCCAGGACTAGGAAGCAGCTAAGGCACAGAGCCACAGTATTTGTCCACAGTCACCAGAGTTTGGTCAGGGGCAGAAGTGGGAGCCAGGCCCAGGGCTGTCTGATATCCATAGTTCAACTCTTAGCATCACAACAAACTTCTTCCCCACAGGCGTAGTATACATCTGACTGCAATCTAGCCCATGGATCAAGACATGGCCCTGGGTGGGCTGGGGCTGTGAGGGTATCTGTCATGAGAGGGCCTTTCAGCCAGCTGGCAGCCTGTGTCAGAAGCATTGCCTTGCTGGGGCTAAAGCCAAATTTTATTCTCAGGAGCCCCACGCAGAGCTGACTGGGAAAGAACCTTCAGAAGTCCTGAGGCCAGGCAGGCACGGGAAAGGGAGGCTCCAGTTCTGAGCTCCACAGGACCCCACGCTGGCATGGCCTTTGGGGGTCTAGAATCTTCTTCACTACCCCAGCCCGGGCAGGGCCAGGGCCCAGGTGCTTACCCCATCCTGGCTGTTACAGTGCCGGGTGCTGATGATGGCTCCCGCCTCCTCAATCATCTTCAGGATTGTTCCTCCGTGGACATTACCGGCCACATTGGCATCATCTGGCCGCATGATCCTAGAGCAGGTGAGAGAAGTGAGATGAGGCCTCTGGGAAAGGACCCAGTGACCCACCAAGTGGCCCAGTGACCCCCCCAAGGAAGGGAGTGGGTCCACCAAAGCACTTGCTGGCTCCCAGAGGAAGGAAAAGAACTTTCTGTACAAATGGGCTCCTCCTAAATGGTGCATTTATCAGGGCTGGGTGCTAATCTGACATACCACAAAAGGGGTTTTATGGTCCTCTTTTCACAGGGTACAGAGCAGGAAGACTTTCCCCTCCTGAAGCCACAAGTATTGGCCTGTCAGTGGGGAGAACCCTGCCCTGGCCAGCAAGGGTTGATAGCATCAGCAAACACAGAAGGCACATCAGCTAGCTGCTGGGGTCCCCAGACAGCATGTACCAGGCTCAATGACTTTCCAGGCTGACCTGTAAGGGACCAGCAATCCCTGAGTCCCAAAGGAGTTCAGTGGCAGCAGCTGTTCTGAGAACTGAACACATGTCACAGCTTCAAGATCTTGGGACCCTGTTGGCAAGGGACAGCTAGCTCCCTCCCCCATCTAGGTGGGGAGATCCTCAAGGAACCCAAGGTAGTACCCAGGCCAGGAATAAAGTTGAGAGCTCCCCAAGCTCAGGGAGAATGGAAACACCACCTCACTTTCCCAGAGGAGAGGCCTCATCCTTGCTATGGGTGAGCAACCAGCCACACAAAAGCTCCACGAAATCTCTGGAATGCCAACAAGCCAGCTTGGTGCTCTTACCATGGGCAGTCCAAGAGAGCTTGGCAAGGCTCACACCTGTAATCCTAGCTACTCAGGAGGCAGAGATCAGGAGGATCAAGGTTCAAAGCCAGCCCTAAGCAAATAGTTCAGGAGACTCTATCTCAAAAAATACTCAACACAAAAATAGGGCTGGCACAGAGTGGTCTAGCAAGCACAAGGCCCTGAGTTCAAGCCCCAGAACAACTAAAAAATTTTAAAAATAAAAATATGTTAGTGTTTTTAAAAATTGAGTTTATGTTATTATGGGTTTTGAGACTTTTAAGCTTGAGTTAAAAGGAAGCCAATTACAAATCAACTATCTCCTGTGTACCTGTTTGCAACTCAGCAGGAAGGGCACTTCACTCACTAGCTTGTCCTGTTGGGGCACAGGACAAGGCTAAGGCTGAGTAAGGAGAACAGAGCCCCACTTGGTTCAAGAGCAGAAAGGAATACTGGTCCCCATCCTTCCCTAGAAGCACTACAGCTGCCCTTGGAGCACCCTGGTTACCTCTGCAAGCCTTGCTTTGCCTGTCTGAAAAATGGGGCTGAAGACACCAGGTTGGTCCACAGTGATATTGCCAGGCCAAAAAGAGAAAGCACACAGCAATGTCACACAGCTGAGGAAAGGAATCCTTGGGCACAGAGGGAGGGAACAATCAGGGTGGCCTTTGCAATCAGAGGCCAAGGGTAGTGACTGAGGCTGAAGCAGAACCTGGAGGCACCCGAAGAACCAAGGGTTTAAAGTGAAGTGCTGACTACCCACCCCAAGGACCCCACAACACTACTGAAATCCTGCTGCCCACCCCAGGGACCCAGCATGGGGTGCTGTCTGCATGGGAGTAAGCAACCACACAACAAGCAGCATGCCTGCCCATTCCACCCCAGCTACCTCCGGCCACCCCTGGGGTATTGCACCAAGGACTTTCCCTAACTCCCCAGGCCAAATGGCCACCAAAAACATGGCCTCAACAGTTCTTGACTGCTCCAGCAGTCAAGGCACAAACCTCTCCCAAAGGACCTCCTTCCTGATGGGACCACATGAAATGAAAGCCCAGCTCACTCAGCCCTTCCCCAATCAGACACCTACTCCAGCCGGTGGCAGACAGCAGACAAGTGTGTGAGGACCAAGGGAGCCAGAACATGCAGGCCCCTGTTTCTACTTTCATTTCCTCAGTTTTAGTAAAGACATGGTATGAAAAGTGTTTCACATTCCCTTGCTATCAACAAAGAAAAAAAGAGAACAGACCGGCATTGGTGGCTCACGCTGATGATAATCCTAGCTACTCAGGAGGCAGAGATCAGGAGAAATCAAGCATCAGGGAAGGGGAAGGGGAAGGAAGAAAGAAAGAGAGAGAGAGAAGGGAGGAGAAAGGCAGGAAGGAAGGAAGGAGGGAGGGAGGGAGGAAGGAAGAAAGGAAGGAGGAAGGGAGGGAGGGGGGGGAGAAAAGCAGGAAGGAAGGAAGGAGGGAAGGAAATCCCAGTAGAGCAAGCACAACACCAGGAGGTGACAAAGACACTGGACCACTGCTCATGCCCTTGAGCTGGGGAAGCCTGTAGGAACGTGCATCCAGCATGCAAAGCTCCCAGATGTTCAAGAGAAGCTGGAGGTCCCAAGTTCAATGCAAAATCTCATATTTGAAGGGTGGCGCCTAAATGGCACATTCAACACCACAGGGGCCAATGCAGACAAACAGCCAGAACCCAGCCTGGGCCTGACCCATAAAGCCAAGGGTCAATGGGTTACTCCTCCCAGTAACCCATGCCAATCCTGTACTCCCTGCCCCTTCACTGAGCCCAGAAATGTCAAGAAAATGCAGACAGTAAGCCCAGGGAAGACTCCTCCTGCGTGACCACCTCCTCGCCTCACCCTGGCTAGGCATCACCATCCTCTACAAGCTGCCCTGGCAGCCAGCAGTGGAAAGAGTTGCTGACTTACCCACAACCCTGCCCTTTTCCGTGCCAACTACTCCTGTCCCATATCAAAATCATGGAATAAACAGGCCGGGCTAGTGCCGGAGGCTAACCCACAAGGACATAACCTCCCTCTGCAGTGTACCTTCTGGCATGAGCAACAGGTTGATGACAAGGGCTCTCAGGAAGCTGAGCAAACATGAGCCACCTCCAGACCCTGGGAAAACTTCCCAGTAGAAGAGACACCTTGACCACAATCCTGGAGGGTGAGCCAGGGGCAGAGAGCAGACAAATGTTCTAAGAGGATGGGGCATTTCAAGGAGAAACCCCATCCCAAGACCAAGAGAGAGTTCCAGAAACAGAAAGCAAACTCACAGAGCTGGCATGTGGCCCACACGGGGCTGAAGATAAAATGGTTGCAGGACAGAGACCCTACCCTGGCTGGGCCAGAATCTGGACTCCATTATGGAAGGAGATGCCCTCAGGAGACACTGGAGCAGGGGGTTACACACACTTGCATGGATGCCTGGGGGAAGAGCACCCCAGCTTCTGCACTAAGCCCAGGTCCTGACTTGCTGTTCACAGGCTGCCCCAAGGGAGACTCATCCTAAGTAGGAATCTGGTGACCACTGCTTAGACCCTCCAGGACAACTTCCTGACTACAGAATAAGGACTGTCTCCTTGTGAAGCATCTGAAACCCTCAGGGATCCAGAACTTTCCGCACTGGAATTCCACCGCCCTATGGAGCTTCATGCTGCATATTCCCAGCCACCACTGTTCACTGAGCACACCTGGCTTTCCCATCCATTCAGGAATATCTGAAACAAAGAGGACCACCTCCGAATGGGCAGCATAAGCAATATAACCTCATGGAGGGTGATAAGCATCACCTATCAAAATCCCAAGTGCACAGTTGTGTCCAGGCCAAGGAAATTTCCCTACATGTGACTCATACAAGGAAACAAAGCAAGATCAAAGTTACTTATGCAAAGTTTCTGTGCAGAAGACTATCCATAATAAAAGAAAAATGAAAAAAAAAAAAAAAAAAGAAGACCATCCAGCTCCTCAGTATCCCTCTCATCCCTGACTAAGGACAGAAAAGTTAAGTTTATACCCACACAACGGACTGTCGCTCAGTTTTGGCCAAGGAGCAAGAATATTTTGAGATTCTGTTAGGTTAAAAAAAAGAGTGACAGGAAACAATGGGAGTGCCTCAATGGATTAGTCCATTGATGAAGGCAGAGTCCTCATGATTCAATCAGTTCCCAAAGGCTGACCTTTGAACACTGCTTACATCTTATATCAGGAACCAAGGCTTGAATACATGAGGTTTCGAGGGGACACTTCATGTCCAAACCATCTACAGGTTGGGCCCTAATCCAGTGGCTGATGCCCTCATAAGAACAGGGAAACGTGGCATGATGACACACAGGGAAAAGGCCACATGAAGATGGAGGCAGAGACAGGAGTGATGCAGCCACAAGTCAAAGAACGCTAGGGCTTGCCAGAACTGGAGAAAGCAGGAAGGCTCCTCTCCTAGAGCCTTCAGAGGGAGCACAGCCTGGTTGACACCTGGATTTCAGACGGCCTCTAGATTATGAAGATAAATTTGTTATTTTAAGCCACCTTGTTTGTGGTCTTTTGTACAGCAGCTCCCTGCCGGAGGCCTTTACTCCACCTGCAGTAGCAGCAATAACAGCACAGAGATGCAGGGGCTGCAGCCTTGATTCCTGGCTCAGCTCCCTTAGCCCCAGGCTCAGCCAGGCCAGGCCAGGCTCCTGTACAGCCATCCTGGCAACAGCCCAGGGGGTGGCCCCTGCCTGTCCTCCCACACCCTGATGAGAGTGTAGCAAGTATCTTTGACTCTGCCTCGAAAATGTCAGTGCTAAAATTAAAACATTGCTGTGTGAAAACCATGGCAACTAGGGGTGGGGCCCGCCTGGCTTCCTCTACTCAATAGTGAAAGCTGAAATAACTGAAGCAGGAGGTGCCTGCACCAAGCCAGTCAGGTTGATGTGGCAGACAGAGTCCTCTCAAGGTTTCCCTGTACCCGAAGTCAGGCAGAACCCCTGGGCCTGCTGCCATGGTTGGACACCACACAGATCCAGGCTGGAAGCAAACTGGGCCTCTCCTTTCTGAAGAACTCAAACTGGAGGCCCCAGCAGACACTCCAAGGACAAGGCCAGGATACCGCAGTGTGCGCCCTGGTCACCGCAGTGGGAGATGGTCAGATTGCCCCTCCCTGTGGAGCTGCAGGTACTGTCAGGTGGGCACAACATAGTCTGGAAGCCTCATGCGGGCCCGGTAGACACTTGGAGCCTCTGAGGAGGCAGCTGCTTTGTCAGAAG